TCGGATTCGATAAATGCGCTTGCTGATCGGCCAGAATAATGTGATCGACGAGATTCTGAATCGATAAGCCGTAAACAACGATGGTGCCTAAGTTATCCGACTTCGGTGGCGGCACGTTCCTCACCTTCTTCAGAAGAGAACTGATCAGTATCTCTGGTCTTCCGTAGAACTTATGCAGCGTTTCCATCACGTACGGAACAGACTCGGGTAGGAGCAGTCGACTTCTAACTGCCTCCAGTGCTGATCCTCCCAAACTTCGCTGCAGTCTGGCTAGATTCTCGGCATCCGTGTATCCGCAGACCTCCATCGTGTTCTTGAATGAACTATAGAAAATAGGCCACTCCTCGGGATCCCCACTGAACTTCGGCAACTCTCGTGGCATTACTTGCCGGGCTGCCAATTGGGCACTAGTTGGTCCTGCCAAACAGGCTGAAGAACTGATCCTAGTCCCGTAGATTCCCCGCGATGTTGGTATTCCTGAGGGTGTTACTTCCGGCCTTGTAACTAGAAACGCAGTAGTTGTGGCTGGGTACGGAAATGATGCTAAGTTCCCGGGAAAAACATTTGGATTGTTTAGAATTCCCGGAAACGAATTAAAAGTGATTGGGGTTGCGAGCAACAGTGGATTTGCGGGTAAGGCTTCATTGGCCAAAGTTGGATACTGGAACGAACAACTCGTGGAAGGAACAGGTGGATTCCAAGAAACTGCTGGTACTGTATTCGACGAAATCGAACTCGGCAACTGCTGTAACGAACATGCCGTGACTGGAGCCGGATACTGTTGCGGATTTCCATAGATTCCACTCAAACCATACGACATTGACGGAATCATCCCAGCTGCACTCGAGAGCATTGTACTCGTTCCAGGATACGAGTAGACCGGAGCAATACCAAGACTGATAGGCGGATTTTCTATTCCTGTCAAAGTCGCTGTAGGAATCGTTGGTACTGTTGGCACGGTCGACACTATCGACGAAGTAAACGCAGGTGCAGCGACTACAGACGTGATCAAGCTTCCACCAGCTGTTGCCACTACTGTCTCTGGAATCGTTGAAATTGTGGGCGGATATGACAATGTGCTTCCTGGTATAGTTTGCACTACCAAGGACTCGTAGGACTTCGCCAGAGCTGTGACGTTGCCGCCGGGAACAGGAATCGTTGGATCCGAATACAGCATACCCAGATTCAGTGGAACTGAATTGCTCGAATTTCCTATCGTCGACGAAACCGTTGTTGTTGATACCACTTGGATTTCAGGATTCACCTGGCTGACAGTTGGGACCGGCAGGGTAGCTTTATGTCCAGGCGTTGTTGGTTTCGACTGTCCAGTTCCGTCCACTTGGGCTCCCTTATTAAGTCATTTCTCCATCCGTTCACGCCTACTCTTCACGCTGACTCCGCTTTTCCTACTCGACGAATCCTTTTCATCGCCAATCTGCATCAACAGCTGGTATTTCTGCCTCAGATATTCCTGTTCGTCGTCCATTTCCTTCAACTTTGCTTCTTCTTCCAGTTTTCGGCTCCTGCATTCTTCTTCCGCTCGCTTTTTCTTCAAGTTCCGTTGCTCTTCAAGAAGTTGTAGGCTGAGCTGCAATTTTTGCGACACTCGACTGCTTTTGCTGACAGACGACTCGTTGAATGATACAGCAGACTTCGATGCACCATCCCAATTTGCCAGGCAATCACTGCACTTATAACTCCTATCCGGTTCCGCAATAGATTCACTGACACCCGCGCACTGAAAGTGTATCCACGATTCGCATTCATCGCAACACACCATATCATCGTTGACATCGGCACGATTGCACTTTCTGCAATGTTTATCATTGCTTCCCGAATTAATGTTGACATTCATTTCGGTTCCGTCCGACATCTCGAGATCGACCTAACTATCCTAAGCTTTTCAAGACTTCCCTGACGACTCGCTACAACTAACAGCAAAGCTCGCGACCGGCGACGGTGACAGAATCAAATACAGATACCGACTTTATTTGCACTGCCCGCACTCTATGCTGCACTCCAAGTCCAAACTCGTTGTGGCTAGTTGTCTTCAACAGTGGGCCGTCTACTGTTGCGGAATGTCCTTCCTCCGATGGGCAACAATCATCCGACTCAGGATGAAAATCTTTGAAGAAATGTTCCCGTAAGTCGGAACTAACACCGTTCTTCTAGTTGCGTACTCAGCAGCTTCAAAGCTGTAATTTATTACGTTATGTTAGTGGTGATACAAAGGTAATTATATAATAATTATCTTACATTTTCAGTGTTCTTTTACAGATTATTTCAGGTCAACGTTTGCCATGGAAGGACGATTCCAGTTCAATCTAATAGTAAGTACAATCAAGGGTAAGTATTTTAGGTCCTTTTTAGGTTACGCGACAAATCAAAGGTAAGTGTTATGTTTATGATTTCAGGGAAAACATACCTCAATTATATCTAAGTTACCACTTACTACGTGGCAAATTCAGCAAGGGTTGAATAAACCGTTTAGGTGGCTATAATAAACGTTGTTTAATCAATGTCTTCGAATTTTGAATTTACTTAAACTTACGAAAAACGTCTCGATTTTATCTCACTGCACTATCAAGTTTTCTTCAATTTTGCTGACTAACTCGCCTCGTATTGTTCTGTTTGTTTACTTCTATCGTTCACTTCGCCCGACAACGGTGTTTCGCTCGCGAGGGTTCAGTCAATTGGTTCACCACCAATTCGCCGCAACGAGGGGTATCGGCGACAAGTACCCTCAATTCAAATAATGCTGCAACTCATACTAAACAAACTAAAGAAGTCTATTCATCACCCTCTATAGTCGGTCTCCAACAATGCTTCCCACCGGTTCCGGCTCTTTCCGGCATTATAAAACACTAAAACACAGGACTTTTATTACCCTATGGATCACAAAACACCGAAATTTCGCACACCCGCCACTTCCAGCGTCATCCTCAATCCGACTTATTCTTGCGATTTCAAACCAAAACATTCAAGGTGTCAGAAATACCGGGATGCCGGGATGGGTGTTTTACAAACAATCGCAGGTTTCTCTATGACCGGCACAATCGGCATACTTGCGGCACACTGACAAAAAAGATGACCCAAAACTGGTGTGCGGAGTGACCTACCCCTTGCCGCTACCCGTTTTAAACCCTCAGTTACTGGTGGAAGAGCTGTCGAAGTACGCCTAAAATGATCCCTTGTTCTTTTATCGATTACTGCTTGAATTGTTTTTTTCCTTGATACCCAGCGATTTAAAAAATGTGAGCTATTTCCTTTGATTTGCCTGTATCGCTAAGAGGAAGAGTTTGCATCCTGTGAAACATGTGGTGAAAAGCAGCCATTTTGTGTCGATGGGAATGGTTTGAAATGCTTGGTATTATTCTCTTTGTATTTGTTGGTTTCCTATAGATTTCGAAATTGAACGAAGACGTTTCCCTGATGATGAGAAGATCTAAGAAGGGGAGTTTGCCGTCTCTCTCTTCTTCGTGAGTAAATTTGATGTCCTTGTGAACTTTGCTTATGGCCTCCAAAGTTTTTGATAAATCTTCCCTTTTGACAATGCTACAAATGTCATCCACGTACCTATACCAACATTTGGACAAAAATTTTCTATCTTCCAGAGTATTTTCTAGGTTAGCCATGAACAATTCACATAAAAATGGAGAAAGCAGATTTCCCATAGGAGCATCTTTAGTTTGTTTATAAAAATTTCCTCTGAAAATGAAATGATTTTCCTCCATTCAAAGACGAGTAAGCTTGAGATATGACCGAACTTTGTTTTTCCAAGTAGAATCCTCACGTTGCTTCAGAAGCCAGTCCTCTAAAAGGCTGATGGCTTGATTTACTGGTACACTCGGAAAAAGCGATGTGACATCAAATAAAACCATGACTTCATCTTCACGAATTTCTCCTGATGCCTGAAGTTGATTTGCAAATTCCTGTGTGCTGTTAACTGAGCGAATGGTTAAGGGTTTAGGCATATTTTGAAATTCCTTTACTAGCCATTTGGCAAGCTTATGAGTGGGGGATCCTTCAGCCGCGATAATCTCTCTCTCATTTCGTTTCCTGGTTTGTGAATCTTTGGTATACCTTTGATCCTAGATAGAAAAGGGTTTGAAACTTTCAATTGATTCAAAAGATGAGCAATTATAACGGAATTAAAAGGAAATAAACCAACACACTCAAAGCTCTTCATAAAAGAATTCCGTTAAGAGGTTCGAAAAATTTAAAAGATTTTTGTGATGTTAAATCTCTAAAATTTGCTAAGGAATCCCTTGTAAACAGCACGTTATTATAAAGAGGATGGTTAGAGCTATAATTTGAAACAAAAAAAAAGAGACCATTTTGGTTTCGAAAACGTTTTTCACCGATGTCAATTTTGAGGCCACCATCAGAAAGCTGACAAAAAATGCTATCAGATACATTCGATAGATTAAGTGAGCAATGTAATTAACGCGATAAAATAACTAATTTTCTGAGATTTTCTGTAGTTAATTTCATAAATATAGACGCATGACGCGCAATCAACGTCAAGGCAGCAGCTAAATGAAATGAACCTATTACGCTGCTATTATGCAAAGCAACCCAGTATTTTATTTTGATATTAAACCAAATGACTGTATGCCAAACGACTTTATTAAATAGTTTTTCCTCGAGAATAGTATCCATATCAACTCAATTCAAATTATCGACAATTTAGAAATATTTTGAAATTTTTCAAAATTGCGCGAAATTAGCGCTTAGGTCAGCAAAATTACTGGCACTTTACGGTAAGCAAAATCATTTGCCATAATTGGTAAAATGATTAATTTATGAGTGGAACATTCAGATTCCTTAATAATAATCTATTCGTAAAATTCAAACCGCTAATGGTTGAATTTTCTTTCAACCATTTGACCTTAACGTCAATTGACTTTTTGGTTTAAATTATCCCTTAATGACAAACGACTTCTGAATGGGAATGGAATAGCTCGTTATAAGTCGTAACTACAACACTTTAAACTTACCGTTTTGAAGATAACATTATTCGGAAACTTGTTATCCGATGCGGCCATGGTCAATCGACACTCCTTGGCACCGACATTGCCAAGCGATAGCGGGAACGAAATCGGAAAGAATTCCGAACGTCCTTTCTTGGGATCTTTCTTCTGATGATGGTGATACTGATGATGGTGGTGGTGTTTTCCATGCCCATGGCGCCCGGAAAATCTCCTGCGGATCGACTGTGGCCCCTTCTTTGTAGCGGAACCACCTTTGGATGAAGTCTCCGCCGTCGGTTGATCATCTGGTTCCTTCTTCACCTCGGCACTGCTTTCTTCTTTAGCTGGCAGCTTTTCTTCCTCAGACGACAACTTTTTGGACACCTTCCTTTTCCTCTTCTCGGCAACCGGCTTCCCTTCTTCTGTGGATTTTGGTTCCTCTGGCGGAATTCTGACGTGCGTCGTTAGGTTTCGCCTTGCTTTGGCTATTAGTTTACCATCGATATCGATACCAGTGATGCTTTTAGTGTGCAACATTTTTGCCACCGCAATTGTCATCAGCCCTACGTTGCATCCAATATCGAGAACGTCCTTATCGCGAAATAGGTACGGATTGCGTAAGAATACTTTCAATCGAACGTCGATAAACTCGTTCAGATTACGATACCCGTAGTATCGATCGTAATTACCGTAGTGATATTTGGTATCTTCCTGCGGCTTACTTTTAGCCTCTTTCTCAGCTTTATTCGGAGTTGGTTCGACCAATGGTTCTGAACTTTTAGCCTGCACTACCGGTGGTTCCGCAGGTTGAGGTGTTTCCGTAGTCACTTCCCCATCAGGGGCTGCGAGCTTTGCAGGAGGTTCATCACTGTTGGAAGTACATGATTGTGTTCGAGTACGGTTTCGTCCGCCAACGGGCAAAGTCGGCCAATGTCCACGCTTCCAAGCGCCTGGTTGAGGGATTACCGGACTAACAATCTTATCCATCGAATCCATTCTACGCACCTTATTCTTACTAGCACAAGTGGTTTCACTAATCCGTCGCTTTCTGCAAATCTCCAAATCCAGTCGCAAGCAACGGGTGGCCTTATCTCGATCTCCGGTATTTCCACCTTCCAGAGGTGGTTCTGTGATTTTTCCAGTGCATCCAGGCGCTTCCATTTGAGCTTCTTCGGCTGTAGTTGCTTCCGCTTCGGAAACGCTGGTGCCAAGTTGAACCCCAGCATTTCCAGTACTACTATCCAAACTTTGGTTGTTCTTGTCAGATTTGGACTTACGCTTCCGCTTATTCCGGGCCCTCTGCTTCTTCTTCATTGGTGAGCACAGTTGCATTTCATACTCAACAGAATCAACCGGATCCAACAGATGCAGCGGATCATTAATGTTTGGCGGAATGATGACTTCGATCTTATTCTTATAATGCGGAGGAGTCGGAATGGGTGACGATTTAGGGGTTACTGCATTCTCCGATTCATTCTGCAAACTGTTTAAATTCAACGGATCCGATATGTTTCCACCAAGCAGAAACTTCGTCGGAGGAATAATGCAGTCCTTCCTAGGACGTTTATCCGGAAGGAAGAACTTCGAAACCGATTGCAATCGTTTCGTTCTCGCTAGCATCAGACTATTGCTATTCTTGTTCAAGTGTTTGTTCTTCCCTTGTTGCTGTTTGGATTCCGTGTTCGTCCCGGACAGGTTTTGTTTTTCATCCCCTTTCCCTCCGGCTAAAACACAATCCAATCCTTTTGCTTGGTCCTTCTTCTTCCCACCACCAATGCCATCCTTTTGATTGCGCCTAAATTTGTTCATTTTCCACTTTTTACTCTTGTTCTGCTGCCGCGAGAAATGCTTGTTCTGTTGTTTCTTATTACCACTATGAGATTGCAATGGAGGCTGACCGGGTTGACCCTTCCCGGTGGATTTGCTTCTGCCTTCATCTTCCCCAACGGAAGCGAAAGCGCGCAATTCTTCCGTGCCACCACCTCCTCCCCCTTCATCTCCTCCTCCATCCGGCAAAATTAACGTTTGTCCTTCCATGAATGAAACAACACCCTTCTCGGCTGATCCCTAGCGCCGATTTACGCGCGCACCTCGGAAATCTCTTTTCTTCTTTGTACACAATACGCAAAACGGGCGGTATTTTTGGCAACCTGGAAAATAAAAGAAAGCACAAAAACAAGCTATTAATATTACCAGTGATTAGTAACGGCGAACCGAATCGGAGATGTTGGTCGAAATCCAGCGGGCAACCAAAGATGACGATGATGTGTGTATCGGAGGCTGAGAATAAAAACAAAATAGAGATAGCCAAGAGAAGAATAACACCATCATCAGCAGCAATGATTACTCGCTCGCAGTCCCAGTAGAGATGTTCCTAATATAAGAACATAATTTGTTATAAGAATCGCACTTATGATCAAAACCCTACGTCAACGGGCATTCTAAATGGATGGTATGGCACATGGAATTGAAGAGAAGTTATCGATTTTTCAGGTAACGGAAATAATTTAACGAAATTCGGTAACATTTGAACGAAGTGCCGACAAGGCCGGAACAAATGAATATTTTTACTTTTGTCACACATTTGAATCTGGCAATAAAACATAAATCTGACATCTGAGTGGGCGTGCCTTGAATTACTAGAAATCACAAAGAGAAGGTTTTTTTTTTAAAGCTGTTACGACCTAATTCCAGCTCTATCTAGATTTATGTTTTATTGGCGAGGGAGCCTTTATCTAGAAATTAAAAAAAATATATAAAACTTGAAATAAGTATATTTCAACCTTTTTGCTTGCATGCACGCTTCTCAACTGCGGTGTGTTGGTAACTTAAGAAAATGCAAAAATTCAGTAACAAATAAAATTTTCTGAATCTTCATATGTGTTGGTAAATTTAGAAATTTGCCAATTTGGTAAACTCCAAGACTGTCACAAATATAAGAAATACACTCTAAATTCAGAAAACTGATTCAACTTCATGATTTCAAATGCTTTCTAAGTCTTAGGGTTTTAAAATATTCGGAGGGGTTGTTCATAAACTCTTCCTGTCCTTATATTGAAAATCAACCAAATATATTTTTGTTAATCTCTGCACGCAAAACAAATAGATCACTGAAAGAAAAGAAAATGAGATGTAAAAGCCATTGGATAGGCGTATACTCTGAGGAAATAAATCGTTCGAATTTCATACGAAATGTGTATGGATTTTAATCGAATTTAATACAAGCCGCCCTGGAAAAATATAAAGTTGGACATACCGAAGAAACAAATACGGATCGGAACAACCGGCATAGACCTACGCGACGAACTAAGGACTACGATTGCAAATCTATCGGCTTCCCGGGCTACGATAGGTTAATCTATTACGAACTTTTACCACGAAACTTCGAAGCCGTAGCACTGCAGGAACTTTGCTGGACGGGACAAAAGGTATGGAAAGGCGGGCATCGAGCGGCTACTTTCTACCAGAGCAGTGGCATCACCAACGAACTGGGAACCAGCTTTGTAGTGCTGGGTAAGATGCGCCAACGCTGAATTGGTTAGCAGCCGATCAACACGAGGATATGCAAGCTGATGATTAAGGGCCGTTCGCAATCGTCATCAGCGACATGAACGCTCAGGAAGGACGGGAGGCAATGTACAGACCGGCAATCGGGCCAAACAGCCTGCATGCCGTATCGCTCGACAACGGTTAACGATGCGTGAACTTTGCAGCCTCCCGTGGTAGTCCAAAGTACCTTTTTCCCCCAGCAAGGATATCCACAAAGCCACCTGGAGATCTCCTGACCAACACATAGAAAACCAAATTGATCACGTTCTAATCGACGGGAAATTCTTCTTCGACAATATCAACGTCCGCACGTACCGCAGTGCGAACATAGATTCGGACCACTACCTAGTTGCAGTATGCAAACAGACAAACAGACATAACACTCGCAAGTTGTTCATCGAACAAGCATTTAACGGTCAATTTAAAAGTATCGTAGTTGGTAGTACCGCCACATAGTCAATTCCCTTGCGTTTGACGTTTACACACTACCGCCATCTATTCAGCGTACTACCCACCACAGTGTACTCAACAGATGGCGGTAATGTTTTAGCGACGATGTTTTACAGTGATAAATATTCAATGTGTTATGTCTGTTTGTCTGTGGTATGCATGCGCTCAAAACTCTGACGGTGCATAACACCCGTCGAAGTCGAACGCCGCTACCCAACATTGAGCAATTACGGGACGCCTGAGTTGCCAAGGATTACGCGCAGCAGCTGGAAGCTGCGCTATCCACGGAAAAGCAGCTTGGTGCAGCTACTCTTGAAGGGACATCCGTACCGTTCATCGATTTCAAATCCGCACGACACAATCGATCAATATCAGCTATGGCAGATTATGCACGAGTACGGATTTCCGGATAAATTGACGCCATTGATCAAGGCGACGATGGATCGAGTGATGTGCGTTGTTCGAGTATCGGGGACGCTCTCGAGTCCCTTTGAATCCACTACGGATTATTTTAACTTTTGGTTAAAATTTGACAGATGGAAAGTTATCGATTAACCCTGCTATCCGAGCGGGGTTATTTCTGATAGACAAGAAGTTAAATGTTGACAAGCGTGGCTGAGTTCTTCTCGAAAACCGGTCGATCAACAGCACAGGGATTTTCGAACATCAAGAATAACTTTCGAAATGTCAGTTTTATCCACGAGTTAAATTTAACTCGGCAAATGGTTCACAGCCTTAAATCTGGGGGGGGACGTGCTGTCAAATCAGCCTACTGATCATCTTGTATGAAACTGGTTCCAAACGTAAACAAACGCTGTAGGTTTCTTATGGCTTGTTTACGTTTGGAACCAGTTATGCGAGGTAGGCGAAGATTGTTCGTATTTGACAGCCACCTCCCCCCCTGGCCTTAAATACGGCCCGTCTGACGTATACATGAAGGAAAGGGACGCAAATCGTGTTGTAAGCAGAAAGACAAGAGTAGATGAAGCATCAAAAACACGGCCGCCAGCCAGGCACCTGGTTTTTTTGGATTACTAATCTAGAATGTAATGAATGCGGTAAGCACCAACTGATAGTATCCTCGGTTTAAATCCCGATAACGAAAGTTGGGTTGATTTGGTATCGACGGTGCTATTAACCAATTCAATCTTAAGCAAATATTTGGCAGATTTTCCAAACAGGAACGGTATTAAAAGTAAATCCAAGTTGAAGCTTACCGCTATTAATGTATTCGGCGCAAAATGTACTAACACGATTTGATGCAAAAGCGCACTTTTATGACCGATACCGCACTTCCAACACTTCTTTGTTCATTTTGGAGCGAAATACGCAATAATAAAACTACACACCCATTTTTTATTGCTGAAATTCAGCAATATTTTGCTGGATTTTGCCGAGTTGGAAGTTCAGGAATCCATCCAGCAAAATACTGTTTGCTGGACGTTGCTGGCCGTCAAAGTCAAACTGACAGCACTTTGCTGTAAAACCAGCAATGTATACGGTATCCAGCATAGCGTAATGCCAATCATTTTGCTGGAAGAACAGTTTTTCTCAATTGTTTAAATTGTTTATAACATTCTTGATAGAATTTTATCTGAAAAACACTTTATTACACTGGTTTACTGTATTATAATCGTACAAAACTTTATTATTTTCATATGAAGAGACAATTTTTCAACAGACGATAAAAAACTGGGCTTATTTAGGACACATTCCATTGGCCATTCTATAGTTTTCTTCAGATAAAAAGGCTATAAATAAAGAGGAAATAACCTTTTAAACTTAGTCAAATTAAAGTTAAAAATACTTACTCCATGATTAAAATACCATTCATGTAACTTATGGGATGATTCAAAAGTTGTACACTTCTTGACTCGAAAAATAAAAAAAACTGCAGAGAAGTGAACGATGGCCCCGGTCAACCTTGACGTTTCAACCAGATTACTGTAAAATCCAGTATTTTTTTTATGGATTACTGGTTCTTCAGCAAGACATGTTTTTGCTGGAAGCAGTTCTGCAATTAATTTTGCAGGAACTCGATTCAGATTTTTGGTGTGTATACAGATATTGATACAGATTTTTCGAAGAATAAATACAGATGAAAAGATTTGTATAAGCAAAAATACAGATTTGCTTTTGGCAACCCTGCCGATGACATCGACATCATGGCGGAAACGCACATCAGATTGAAGGCTGAAGCTAGGCGGATTGGACTTGCTATCAACGCATCGAAGTCGAAATACATGAGAGGAAGAGGTTCAATGTTAGCCTCCCACCCCGAGTTCAGATTGATGGTGACGAAATCGAGTTCTTGTCTTTGGTCTCACTGGTGACCGCCGAAAATGATACCAGCAGAGAAATTCAAAGACGCATTATGGCAGGGAGTCATACCTAGAAGTTGACTATCTTGGTGTTTTCGAACGGAAGGTGTTGCGTATCATCTACGGTAGAGTGCAGATGGGTGACGGAACGTGGAGGAGACGAATGAACGACGAATTGCACCAGCTGCTGGGAGTAAGTCGTATGAATTAGAAACGAGAGGAATACAGCTTCCCTTAGCTCAGTCGGTAAAGGCGCAGCTACAAAGCAAGACCATGCTGGATGCGGCTGGGTTCGATTCCCGGTCCGGTCTAGGAATTTTTCGGGTTGGAAAATTCCTCGACTTCCCTTGGCATAGAAGTATGATTGGACTTGCCACACAATCATATCAATGCAAAAATGGTACAGGCATCGAAAGCTCCCAATTAATATCTGTGGAAGTGCATCTAGAACACTAAGTTGAGAGCACGCAATAAGCTAATATGCGATATGCAATAAGCTTAAAATGCGCAGAAGAAGAAGAAGGAATACGAAAAGCAATCGAATCAAATATGAAATTCATTGTAGCTATTCCTGTGGATTCTGATGTTCGTTTTTCTTTTTAAGCAAATTAGTTATATACCAAACAATCTTATAACTTCTCGCGTAATACATATTGGATTTTTTTTTGCTTTATTAGAGAGATTTTCAGCCTTGGGCACATATTGGAAATATAAATTTATATTTATTTTATGAACAAAGAAAAATTAAACGTTGGAGCGTTGTTTTTGATTTTTTTGTATTATAATCAACGTCACACAAAAAGTAACTTTAAAATTTTAAGCGCCGTGACTATAAATCTACCTGGCTATTGATGTCACTGCTTACAACTTTAACTCAGTTACGTCTGTTATCGCACCTGGAATTGTCAGTAATAACCGCAGTTTTTTTATACTAGACAGATTCTGTGGAGAACTTGATAGAACTTTATATTATCTTTTTACGTTTTGTTCTAGCCATTCCACAATTGACGCCCAAATCAAATCGCTCTTCTGGATCTACGGGTACGCGATAATGCTTGTTATTAAAGCAACACACTCTATAATTTTAAGAATGTAGGTTAGGATCCGGAATATCATTTAGAATTCAGCGTTTTTACCTCGCAGTACAGCCCATGTTTCCGCCGGAACTTTGACATACGCTAATAATTTCGGCTCGTACGCCATATTGTTTTGTTTTGCACAAATCATATGAGTGTTTCATACGAACGACGTATGATTTTTTTTTCACACAAGATCAAGAATGGATACAAGTCGTATGAAACTATTTCCAGAGCGCAAAATGCTCGTTCATACGAAACATATTATGAAAATCGTAATTCTAGTTTCTTCAGCGTAGAATTTTCGCGTCACCTTTCAAATAGGCCAATCTACATTGATCGATTCTCTTCATCGACTCTCTCGTTTATGAACTATCGAATTTTAAGGTCCCACTTGTCCCAGTGTACCTTATCTGTTTGATTTTTCAAAGCGATAAAAAGGACATCGAATGAAATTTAACGAATTTTTCCAATGAAGATTACATATGATTTAAGTTCAGTGTATGGAATCTACTATTTCAATAACACTATCGAAATTACAGGGCTGGTAGTGGGTATGTAATATAAAAGTAGTGACTTTAGTGACTAAAATAATGAAAATAGTGACCAAATAATGACTTTAAAACAATAAAAAAGTGACCAATAGGCTACGAGATGAACTAGCCTACGGCTAAAAATCTCAAAAATAAAGTTATTATGATTTTAAACCAATATCTTTCGTTGATTGCGATTGCCACTTCAAGAATGTTTATAAACTCACATCATGCGTATTTATCATATTTAAAAAAATAAAACAACTGGTTTGAGGTATCATCAATTTTCAAAAATTCAAAACTAATTTCTTCGTTCAAAACCAAAATTAATTTCATGAAAATGAATTCATTGCATTCTACTTGCCTACCGAAAGATAGATAGTAAACACATTTTCATTGACAGAATTTCGGTTTTAAACGAAAGAAGTGCATTTGAATTTCCAAAAAATAATGCCGTCTCCTTTTCCCTTAAGGATCCCATAAGTTTGATCTCAAAAAATAAGTTTGAATTGAATAAATAAGAGCATAAATCCAATTCCAACCCTCATTTCTCGCGCAACACGAGTAAAGGGCCTTTCATTGTTGATCGATTCTCTTCATAGGTTTTCTCTTTCGCGAATAATACGACTGCAAATGAATTTTCCATTCAGTGTATTATTTCAGGCGCAAGCTAACATCATCTTATGTCGAACTGTGCTGAGAAATTAGCGAGAAATTCGTTTATGTTGCCGTGGTAAACCAAAGAGAAAGTTGATGAAGAGAATTGATCATCAAGGATAGGCCCTTTTCAAATGTTACGCGAGATTTCCTCTTTTTAAACTCATTTCCAAACAATTTACTAAGCTGATATCAAGCTGAACATTGCATTAGATCCTAAGTAACATTGATCGATTCTCTTAGCCGACTTTCTCTTTTGTTAATAACTTGAGCACATAACCGTTTATTGTTGTGTTTGTCGTATTAGATGCTAGATAAAAGCTTCTTTTATCAATCTGTGTGCTGAAGATACCTGGTCAACGAAGCGGATCTGTCAATGTTACTTAGGACGTAATACAATGTTCACCTTAATCTCTTGGTTGGGTGTATGATACTTGTACACTAACCTCCCTCTCTTGGTTATTTACACTTCCAAACTTACAGAATACAAATTTACCGAATACAACCTAACGAAAGTAATCGAACCGAATGGTCGATAAGATTGAATTTTAAAATTGGAATATGGAATGCTTGAATCTTAAAATATTTAGGAGTTAGATAATGAGGATTGGATCGATACTGAATTTTGGACATTTTAATAATCTGAAGAAACTTTTGATTATGATTAAAATTCCAGGCAAATTTTAAGGATAAGTATATGATCTTCTGATGAGAATTTAGAAGGATTTTTGAGCAAATAAATATCCAATTATCCATAATAGAAATGTATAACCAATTTGAAATACTAGAAAATAGAAAATATATATCTGTAAACTATGAACGGCAATCACAACCCGATGATCGTACTGATGAGCACGGTAAAGAGTTTAAAAAAATCATACATATTCTTGGAAATCAGTTTTATAATTATAAAATATTTTACAATTAAAGGGTGATACGGTCAAAATTTGGTCAATATCAACTTGACGTATTTCTTTCAATTTTGCATTTAAAAAACCTGAACACCCCTCATTTTGAAGGTGTGTGTGTGTAGAATGTTGCTCCTATTTTGATTTTGGAATTCACTCTTCAGTTGTCAAAATGCCGTCCAAGCAAGAAGAGCAGCGTATCAAAATTTTGCTCGCGCATCGCGAAAATCCGAGCTACTCGCACGCAAAGTTGGCAAAATCGCTAAAAGTTGCCAAATCAACCGTTACAAATGTAATTAAAGTGTTTGGGGAACGTTTGTCGACAGCCAGGAAGTCTGGATCGGGGGGAAATCGAAAACTGGAAGCCGCTGAGACGACAAAGAGAGTTGCCGGTAGTTTCAAGCGAAACCCTAACCTCTCTCTCCGAGATGCCGCAAATAAGCTGGGTGTATCGTCTACAACCGTGCATCGAGCCAAAAAACGAGCCGGACTATCGACTTACAAGAAGGTGGTGACTCCAAATCGCGATGATAAACAAAATACGACGGCCAAAGCGGGATCCCGGAGGCTGTACACGACGATGCTGACGAAGTTTGACTGCGTGGTAATGGACGACGAAATCTACGTCAAAGCCGACTACAAGCAGCTTCCGGGACAGGAGTTTTACACACTTATTTTTTTTCGCCGAGATTCCAACAGCCGAGTGATTCTGCAATTTATTTTGCTGAGATTCAGTAAAACAATTGCCGAGACTCAGCTAACAAATAAAATTTTGCTGAGATATCAGCTAACAAACAGATAATGTGCAGAGATATCGGCAAAGGCAAATGCCGAGGTAATCGGCTGTTGGAGATTTTACCGAGCTAGATTAAGTGTGTATACGGCAAAAGGAAGGGGAAAGGTAGCAGATGTTTTCAAGCACATGAAACTGTCAAAGTTCGCAAAGAAATATCTGGTTTGGCAAGCCATCTGTACCTGTGGCTTGAAAAGCAGCATTTTCATAGCTTCCGGGACTGTCAACCAAGAAATTTACGTGAAAGAGTGTTTGAATAAACGTCTGCTGCCTTTCCTGAAGAAACACGGTTGTTCCGTACTGTTTTGGCCGGATTTGGCATCTTGCCATTACGGTAAAAAGGCCATGGAGTGGTACGCCGCCAACAACGTGCAGGTGGTTCCCAAGGACAAGAACCCTCCCAACATGCCAGAGCTCCGCCCAATTGAGAAATACTGGGCTATTGTCAAGCGGAACCTAAAGAAGACCAAAAAAACTGCTAAGGGCGAGCAGCAGTTCAAGGCAAACTGGCTTTCTGCGGCGAAGAAGGTGGACAAGGTGGCTGTACAAAATCTGATGGCAGTGGTCAAGCGTAAGGCCCGGCAATTCGGATTTTGAAAAGCGGAAGCCTAACTGAATATTTTTCCTGAATTTTATACTAATTGAACATGAAAAAGAAATTTAATTTGATTTTTTAAATAAACGATTTCACCGATTACACGCGTTTTCCCTTGACCAAATTTTGACCGTATCACCCTTTAGGTATACATTTTTTTTTCAGAAATTTTGAAGAGGGTGATAAAAGTTAAAATTATTATTTTGTGTCGGTAAATATTACTTTCGTTTTATGTCCGACTATCAAATAGGTCGAGGGTGAGTGGGAAATAAAATGGTCGGGGGGGGGGGGGGTGGGAATAAATAACAAGGGACAAATCGAAAGTATTTAAATAATAAATTAATTTGAATTTGTTTTGCCCCTTCAATACTTTGTATTTTTTAATGGGGGGGGGGTGGTTGACATAAAATTAAACTTGCATTATTTCTGAGGTTGCATAACAAATTTCTTGAAAATTTTAAATATTATTCCAAAAGTTTCAAATAAAAATTAGCAAACCATTAACAAATTTTGTTCTTATGATCATTATCAGCCTACTGGGATAGACGCACCGTTTCCAAACCCCCAAAAATATATAAACAAACAACAGAAACACAAACCTGTTTCTCTCCTTGCTCACGAGATTCGACGTTCTGCTGTTGATTAGCCAAACGCACGAAGATTCACACCGCCACTCTCTCACGCTACCACGAGCCAAGTTCTCTTGTTGGACACGCTCTCGCGCTCACCGTTCGTAGTAATTCTTGTTGTTATTTTTGCTACTTTTCACCACTAGTGCCCTACTGCTGATGCATATGCAGGAGAATCCGAGCGCTTCTCTCTCTTTTTTGCACAAGGCGAAGCACAGACCAACGATACAAAAAAAAATGAAAAACCTTCTTCGCACTACTTCCTCCCTTTCCCACCCCTTACTTCATGAGAGGAACAGAAACTGTCTATGAACATGAACCACTACTTCTTCACTTTGGCGCTCCTTCTATGCAAAATACCTAACGTCGTGAAATTCACGTCGTGACACGAATCATCTAGTCAAGTCACTTTACCAACCAATTACAACGACTTTCGAGGAGATAATTTTCTTCTTCACATCACTATTTTTTCACTTTTCTCATCTAATAGCACTGCAAATCAACACAAATCAGACGCCGGTCAAACGCAGACCATCTGCACGCTTCCAACTCTCAGCACCGACTGAAGAACGACTACTCGCGAGAGCAAAAATTACACGCTTCTGTGAAGCATACTGTGAAGTTTTGCCAGCTTTGCTACAATTTGACAGCTCGCAAACCACTGGGCAGCACCGAAGGGAGCTGAAAAATGGCTGCCATCGCATCACTTGCCGGAAATTAGGTGGAAAACTATGCTACAACGAGGCGCGTGTCGTTCTTCCGGATCATTACCGACGGAAATGGAGGGTAGCAAAATTGGAAATTATAAATTACAGGTAAGAAAATCCGTGAATGGCATCTTTTGTGACGAGGGTTGATTTTGCTCCGAGGAGGTCTTAGAAAAATGATCCCCATGATGTAAAAGAAATGCATTTGGGCGGCGCTGAAAAGACGTTCGTGTGATAAATGAAGAGGGCCTAAACCATGATGGGCAATGAAATTTGAAGTTGTTTTTATTTAAGATTTTTCTATCAAATGGATCAAATAAATACAGTACCATCATCATTTGCTTGTTGATACTTCATCCAGTGTCTACTAATTTTGCTTAATAAAATTTCGTGAGATTTAAAGGACTTCATCGGAAATTTTCCAGGATTTTAAAGAAATATTTTTATAATATTGCACCTTTTTTTAGACTCCTGCGCAAAGAATAATAGCACAGGTTAGAAAATGTAAAATCGACTTATTTGAAAGCAGTACCAGCTTAAGAACAGTACTGGCAAGTTACGCTAATGAATTACCATAGAGGTAACTCTAAGACTAGAAGGTCCCGAAATAATGTGCTCAACTTTTTGGCTCAGCTCTGGTACTCTCTTCGGTCCCAAGCTAATCGATTCACCCCTCGAAACATAGGAAAAACCAATAACCCCTCATTTTATCTGTCAAACTTTCATAGCGAATCAAAACAAACATTGCGTAGTACTAGAATTTCGACTAGTATGGGGTACGTTAATCGTTTGCTTGGGACCAATAGGCTAGTCAAGTTTAAAAATTTAAAATCGTTAGTTTCGTATTGATTGTTGGAATTACGCTAGGAATTCTCAGTCATTCTCCTGAAAATATTTCTCCTCGGTATTCACCAAATATTCCTCTAAAATTCCCATGGTATTTTCGGAATTCCCTCTATATTCTGATAAGAATACTGCAGGTTCCGAGAATTTCTTGAAATGAGCCTTAGAATTCTCTAGAAACTCTTCTTTGAGTTCTCTAAAGATGATTACAGGAACAACCTTGAAACTGTCCAGTTTTCCTTTGAAATTAACCTCAAAGCATCGATGGAAATTTCTATAAATCTTTCATCAAAACTTCCTTGAAATATCCTGATGTATGTGGGCGTTTGGTGGAATACATGTATAGAGAGAGAAGGATTAGTAATTTCCATTTAATACCAATACCTTATTTGCTTATCCTTGACAGATGCGTGTATTTCGTCCACCGACAAACCTGACCAAAGCACACTACTGACATCTGGCTCCGTGTTCGCGGGAAATATTAAGCTAAGCCATGAACCCGCATGCAAAAGTTATGAATTGATTCGTGTATGATCTATTCTGGACGAATTTTTTTTTATCTACATCAAAAAATCCTATGGTTTTGACAGTTTGGATCACTGCACATTTAAATCGACCGTTTACGATTTTCGGGCATAAGTCAGAATTAAGTGTCATGTCGATTTGTCGGTGTTTCAGCTCCGCGCTTTGAAAGTTAAACTTGGATTTTATAAAATGGACATTACTGAATCCATTCAATAACAATAAGATCGAAATTCTCGCTCAGCTGCAAGATAAGCGACGCATCACTCAATCTGCTTTGCGCAGAGCTGAGGATAGACTATAATATTATCATCTCTCATTTTTCAACGATTATTCATGTTCCTCTCCCATCCAAACCATGAAAATATCGCTCTCTCAAAATCGGTGAGAACACTTTTTTTATCACCCATTTAACACCGACAATATTCGATATAAACATGTTGACTGAAACCGTTTGGCAGCATTTGCAAAAGCATTTGTAAACAAACTTTCTAAGGCCCTTTACACGCGAACCAAAGTACGCCCACGCAAACCAGCAACATCATCGGATAGGGGCAAGTATCAACTTTCCGAAAGTGGTATTGGTTTGCGTGAAATGAAAATCTTCGTCTCCAAAGCTCATCCATTCTAGTGTGTAGTGAAGTCTTAGTGAGCTAACATAAGTGTGAGTCGCCTCTCCGTGATCTTGTTGTTTGCTCTTTCTTTGCCTGGTCATTTTCCGTGGGATAAAAATGAACTGGATAAGGGCAGGGGCGTAGTGAGGGGGTGACGAAAGATTTTATAGTGACAAACTTGTCCACAAATTCATTCAATTCCCTTTCAAAAAATAAATAGTACATAAATTAACAGTGTACTGATGCTAACTGCGAAAGATACGCTCCTTGCCTCCCATAGCCTAAATCGTGTCGGAGTTCATACAGCCAGTACTTCACCTATACAATGATAACCTTCTTCGGAACTGTACAAGAAATGTTCAAATATTTCAGTAACTCAACTACGCGATGGAGTATTCTTAAAGTCCTTGGGAGTATCGTTGAAAGGGCATCCCTAATAAAAATTGTATGGTTAATTTGCTTAACGACGTGTTCTGGGTATCATCCAAACCATTTGTGAAATAGTTCAATAATTTGGGTTATCGTTCGTTTATGGTTATTTTTTATTAGGGATTCCGGTACAAGATGGTCGTCTAAAAGCAGTATCAGTATCTAAAACGATAACAAAATTGATTTTTTTTCGTTTATTTACTAGACTCAGTCGTGTGTAACACTTTGCGGAATCCGTATTTTTTTAATTAACATTTTATACAGCACTAATCTAGTTTAGTATTGGGTACCAATTACTCGTGGCGGGCTCGAGGTTAATGGGTAACAATTTCGATTGGAAGGAGCTAGGTAGGAAACAGGTTTCTGAAGCCTTCTTCAGCTACTACTCTCGAACGGTTGACCAAATGCTGGCTGGGCAGGGGCAAGTAGCACAGTAACAGCAGGATATTAATACTGGGACACAATGGCTGGAAGTTGTTTGGAAATGGATGGGGATGGGGATGGTCACACCAGACTCTAACATCAGACAAACAAAGAAATTCGTAGATCGCCTGCGTGTTGGGAAGATCAAGGGTTTCCAATACATCTTTTACTTCACGGAAGAGTTGTCTCGAGGGGGACGACTCTATCTACGATGCAAAAAAGATTGTGTTTTGACACAATCTATATATATATTATAGACATATAATATAGAAAAAATAATTTCTTTTCATAATTTTAGGTGTAGACATTGGCAAATCAAAGTTGGCACTCGTGGAGAATAGAAGAACTATGAAAGTGATGATGGTTTCAAAATTTTCCACGGGGAAGTATACGAGTGCAATCTTAAAATGCTTTTATTTTGAAAATGGAGCATTTTATTTAAATCTGGTTACTGCTACAGTGGTAGAAAAGCGGAAGTCTATGTTTACACCTAAAAATCTGAAAAGAAATTATGTTTTCTGTATTATATGTCTATTGAGTAGTCCTGAAGTTTTCTACTAACGTAGCACTAACCAGATTTAAATAAAATGCTCCATTCATAAAATAAAGGCATTTTAAGATTGCACTCGTATACTTCCCCGTGGAAAATTTTGAAACCATCATCACTTTCATAGTTCTTCTATTCTCCACGAGAGCCAACTTTGATTTGCTAATTGTGTATAGAGTTCTCCAGATGCACAAAAGTGTGCGTGAGACCGCGCGCTACCTTTTTAAGTAGTTGTGATATCGCGATACCTTTTTGTTTCTTCTTCTTCTTCTTCTTCGTTTTTACGTATGGATGTTGGATTTTAGTGTTCGTGAGATTGCGCTTGGAGATCTCTATACTCTGTTTTGTATTGTACACAGCAAAAAAAATTGTGATATCGATCAACGTAATTCAAGCTGATGTATGAAATAATGATGTAATAGCAAAAAGCAGATACAATCCCCCTTATTCTGCGAGTCACGTGACTCTCTCTCACCGGTGAGGTGACAATAATCACCTCGTGTGAGGTGACTCTCCATTTGATTTGCATGGAGAGTCACCTCACACGAGGTGACAATTGTCACCTCACCGGTGAGAGAGAGTCACGTGACTCGCAGAATAAGGGGGAATACTACATACTACAATACTATGACGTACATCGTACAACGTAATATTACACAACCAGCGGAATGACCTCTGTGCAGCTGTTTGGATGTAATATTCAACAACTTTTTTTTTTCCGTGTTTTTGACAAATAAAATTATAGTTCGTATGCCTCCGCCATGGCAGGACGGCCAAACCAATGGTCGTGTTTAACTTTATATATATTTTTTTTAATTCTTTATTAAAGAGATTTTTAGCCTTAGGCTAGTTCATCTCTAGTTTAACTTTATATATTACTCCGTAAACACAACGTAAATGGGGTCCAGCCCGTGCGCGATCATAATTTGGTGCCGTGACCAATCGTTAGACACCTGCGGGCAACGTTTTAAAGTCCATGTAACCAGTGGAAATGTGAAGTAAATAACGCGATAGACTGCTACAAGGATTCCGCTCCACTTCCAGCTACGATGGTGTGTCCTTCATGGTAGCCATCTAGCTGAGCATGTACCTTTCTGACTCACCGTGGACTAGGACAGTTCTGGTCAGGGGTTAGAGATGAACTAGCCTGAGGCTAAAAATCTCTTTAATAAAGAATTAAAAAAAAAAAAAAGTTCTGGTCAGGGAACATGCTCACTCCAAAAGGCGAGTGGTTATGACGGATACATGTGCAGTTATAGTGTTTGTCGCTCATCTTCGTGTTATATTCGTAATATTCATCTCATAAATATCCGTTTCATCAATGGAAAATCGTTTGTTTTGAGGGGAGAGTAGTATTCACATGTGTCTCTTTTGTACAGTACACAACAGAAAGACACTTGATAATACAACTGTGGCGATATCTGTGTGAGGATAGATGTACCTCTTGAGCTAGTAATCACTACGTCCCTGTATAAGGGAACACTCAGCCTGAGCTATCCAGAATGTAGGGGTATTTTTTTTTTTTTTTTTTTTTTTATTTTTTTTTTATTGGGTATCAAGCTGGAGCTGCGTGACAGCTTAGTTTTCAAGACTTGACCCATTTGAATAAATTTTGCTTCTATCTTTGACAATACAGCAGAAGGACTAGCCTATGTTGGCCGCTTGAACACTGGATTCCGTATGTATTGTTTCAAGATAGTTATAGAAAAAAGGCTGTGACGTGTGCGCGTAGATACATCCGCGTAGTAAACCGATTGAATACGTAAATCCGTTTCGAACGAAATATCTAAATTATGTAAGTTACGAAAACCGCGCGAATTCCGAAAGCCGTGCGAGACAACCGAAGCGAGAAAAAAGGCTTATTATCATTTAAAGAGTGCCACCAAAATAAATGTGATAGCCTATGTTGGCAAGTTGATTAATTTTGGTTTCCTCCCTAGATATTCTACTTACTTACTGCTGAGCTTTGTATCAAATTAGTTAATTTAAAGAACGTATCAATTATTTCAAGATTTCGCGACCGCACCGAACAAATTCTATGAGCTCAAAAGCGTTTGACAAACTTTACCGAATTGCGTATCACTTCTGCGTAAGCTCCGTAGACGTAGGCGCGTTGAATCCGACAGTCGGCAACGGTTTAACCTGTACCAACACCGCTTAAGGAACGACCTCAAGTCAGTGAAACCGTTTATAGCTAAACATCTAAATTACGTAAGATACGAAAATCGCGCAAATTGTGAACGCCACGCGAAACAACCGTAGAGAAAGAAAAAAAAAACAACTTATTATCACTTAAAGAGTGCCACCAAAATAAATGTGATAGCCTATGTTGGCAAGTTGATTAATTTTGGTTTCCTCCCTAAATATTCTACTTATTTTACTGTTGAGCTTTGTTTCAATTTAGTTATTTTACCGCACGTATCAATCATTTCAAGATTTCGCGACCGTAACGAACAAATTCTATACTACAGAAGCTCAAAAAAACTTTTGGTGAGCTCTACCGCATTTGCGAATCACTTCTGCGTAAGCTCCGTAGACGTAGGCGCGTTGATTCCGACAGCCGCGAAAAGTTAAGCATGCATCAATACCACATAAGGAAAGATCGATTTTACGTATGGTTTAGTTCATAGATTAGCATTGACTGCTGTTTACAAATGTAAGTACTTGAACACTAAGAAATAAGTTAACTCAAATGCTTTAACCGCATATATAAGAGATTTCGCGTATTGAGAGAATTATATAGTAATCGAGTACAACAAACTCAGGGGAATACAATACCTCCAAAAGTTTAAAAGCTATTAATTGTCACATACCTTTACTTTTACTTATTTCCTAAACTATTCCTCTCCTTGTTAATCTGCTTAATAGTATTGGTCTGCCTGCGTTTTCTTGTTAATGTTCAAACCTAAATAAGAAGATTTATTCTACAACTTTAAAGATTAGTTGCCTCCTAAGCGGACCCCCCGCATCCTAATTCTTTTGTTAATCTACTTAATGTCATTAGACTTTCTGAAGTTTCTTATTTAAGTTCATTTGATGATTATGATATCTCATTAGTCTAATTTAATAAATTATTAAAAGCTCTAATTCACCTAATCAATCATAACCCATGCTTTATAAAGTACCTGCACTTGTGCTTGTAATCTAAAATTAAACGTGTTTCAAGTACTTTTGATTTAAGCCTATACCTATTTATTATATCTTAGTTCGACCCAGGTAACACCTTCATGTGAGTAAAATGCTTCATTTTGAAGTTAGTTTCCTAGCTGATATTTACATTATATAGGGTATATGTTTCAATTACGCTCTCACGCTTCCACTATGTCGCACCACAAAAATACATATGGGTATGTCACAATAGAAGCACACCACAGTGGAAATCCCGAGCCATAGTTCAAACACTTATCCCAAATCAAAATGAAGCACATATAAGATTAGTTACAATACCATGTATAAAAATGGTGTTTAACATTGTTCCCTGAGTAATACCTCAATTAAAACAACAATGAAAGCTTGTCACGCAAATAGAAGGAGCACCGATGGGCATTTTCTGAAATACTTCAATAGTATAATTCCCTTGCAAACCCAAATAAATCTATCGTAAAAAATAAATAAAATAAGAGTGATTTGCGGCAAAACCCGCCAGTATCACACCCAACGTCAGTGCCTATACGTAAGCGTACTACGACGCGGCTCTCAATAAAAGGAGTAACAAGTGTGATACTATCACTGCTAGACTAGATCTTTGGTTCTCTCATGCAGTGGTTTATCAGAGAGGGGAAGCTTAGTAATCCCCATTGCCTGCCCATGACGCCATTCTATCGCGGCATGAGCCAGCAACGCCGACCATAAACCTACCGTCTCCAACACTCCACTAGCATGAAATTAAGCCCGCCCACCAACAGCAAGGTGCAAAAACTAGCCAAGGGGAGGGTATCCAGAATGTAGGGGTATTTAATACTGATATTCCTCGTAAATGCGTTATCTCCATTACACTTAGATGTACTTTGGTATTTTAACGATAGTGGAAATGTTTACGATGTGCTATGTGAAAACCCCTAGGACAGGCTTACCCAACCTATCTAAACTAGCTTTTTTTAAATGACTGTATCTAATTTCAATGAACATGTTTCAAACTGCATTTTATTATTATTCATTCATTGTGAGTAAAAATTCATAATTGGAATTTGTAATTTATCAGCCCTCACCCTGGTGGCCACTGCCAACCCATAGTGTTAGGTGAGAACCTACCAAGCATAAGCGTTAAAACATGCCAGACCGTACAGCATGCCGCAATTGTGACTAGCCGGGGCAAAATATCCAAATTAGTACACCGATACATCAAATAGGGATAGCAAGAGATGGAGAGGGAAAGAGCACAGACAAACAGACGAAACTCTTCATTGTGTATCTTCGTTCATGCATTTAACGGTTGATTTGAATATTATCAGTTCCGCGAACTACTCGCCGCAGCGCTGGCATCGGATCACTTTGAACTTTCTATATATTCTATAGAACTTTTATGCAATATTGTTTACGAGTTAGCGAGCAAGCTTGTTTTCCGCGAGAAGCCAGAGAGATGTCGCTACTGAGGTTATATGTTTTGAGATACTATGTTTTCAAGAACAAGTTTTTCAAAGTGTTACGTCTGTTTGTCTGTGGAAAGAGTAAGAGATATCAATTTGTTGAAAGAAAAGAACAATAAGAACGAAAATATTAGTTGCCTCCTAGGTCCACCGCTATGGCTGATCCGTACGGTATACCGATACCTGGCACTACATTGACCGTTCCATAATTGGTTGAACCGTACGGTATATTAACACCTGAAATTATACAAAAACAAATTAAACTTTAGCACCAACCCCCCACCAACAGCTCCAAGCCATGCAACAGGATCATTTCGTGCCCCATGACAACTTGATTCAGTTGCTTCCAGGTTCATTTTTTTGGCGCCAGCCGGGAGAGACTTGGTCCTGTACCCAATGCTTTCCTTGTCTCCATTCCGCTCAGCTACTCGCAATTGATTGTGATATAGTGGGCGGAATATTACAATGTTAGACAAACAATGCAGACGTCTTCCAAATTTGGCCGATCGTCAGGTAATCAGTGGGTTACCACCTGGTACCTCTTAGCAAGCACTCCCCCCTATTCTGCGAGTCATGTGACTCTCTCTCACCGGTGAGGTGACAATAGTCACCTCGTGTGATTTGTCACTCTCCATTTGATTTGCATGGAGAGTCACCTCACACGAGGTGACAATTGTCACCTCACCGGTGAGAGAGAGTCACGTGACTCGCAGAATAAGGGGGATAGTCTGGCGGATAGAATTTCGATCTATCAAAAAGCGGAACCATTTCAATACATTGTAGACCAACAATTGAAAAGGTACTATCAACTATTATAAACAAAAGGTTGATTATTCTTTCCTCGCCAGTCGAAGGTAAATTTACCAGCATCGTCGGATAGGGGAAATTTTCCACATCCTTAAGATGGCCTTAGTTTGTGTAGGTGATCTTTTAGTCTGAGAAAACGGTTTCCGAAATTTTGTTCGCAATAGCTGATATGCTCTTTTCTGTTGTTGGTCGTGATTTGCTCGATTGGTTCCGCTATTTGACAGCTTAATTGATTCCCGAGATTCTATCCGCCAGACTATGAATATAGCGACTATAGGGAAGACTTCCCCTACCCGATGGATATGTTGGTTTGTGTTGTAGGCGTGCCTTGAATTCTTAGAAATCAACGAGCTGTTACGTCCTAATTCCAGCATTATCTAGATTTCTTGCGTCTACTTTGAGTCATCGTCATGGCTCTCCGTGGCAAATCGACATCGACCATCGAGTAGAGGAAGACTTCTCCTACCCTATGGTTATGTTGGTTTGTCAAGGCGTGTCTTGAATTCCGAGAAATCAACGAGAGAAGTCATGGTTTACAAAGGCTGTTATGCCATAATTCCAGCTCTATCTAGAAGTATTCAACGTTCGAAAAAAAATGTACTATAGTAACAATTCTAAAAAAATGTAGAGAAAATACATTGCATTTGAGGAAATTTCGAAGCATAATGACAAGTGAGCCAATGTAAACTTACATTTACAAATAGTGATTATAATTCTATATCTGTATCTTTTGAACGTAAAAAAAAAGTTTGCTTACTAGAATAAACAAAAAATAAACACCAACAAAGACACCCACATTTGTTTGGGTGTCTGATGCTTTGTTTGAGTTGGTACACACGTACGTTTGTTACGTTACTATACTATCTTATCGAGCATACAAACGTCGAACCTTTCTGCTTTGAAACTATTCATACTCTTCATTTTGGTTTTGTACGAAACTAAGAAAAAAAAACACATGACTGTATAATTGTAGTTCTCCGGGTACCGATTTTTGTAAAATTCGTTCCACTATGGACCTGAGCTTTTAATTCAAGAAAACAAATGCCCTTTTCTACTCGCGAGCTGCAAGTTTCGATGAAATTTACGAATATATTAGTATCATCAACCGGAAATTGCGTTGACATAACTAAACCTATTAAACGAGAGTGTACTCTGTTATACTTTCCCCCCTTCAAACCGTAGGATGGCAAGTAAAGAGGAATTGGTTTTCCTCTTCCAAGCCGGCGGACGTGTGAATCAATGATCGACTTAAACGATGATCAGATGCGAGATTTGATGAAAGTACCTATAGGTATGGTTGTTCAAGAAGTACCACTCCAGCTGATGAAGGGCACATTATTCTGCATCCTCCTCTTGCTTTTTGTCCTTCTTCTTCTTCTTTTTCTTGGTTTCAGAGGGCTAAGAAATATACAAGAAAAAAATGGTTAACGTAAGAACAATCAGATCCGAGCAAAAGCAAATGTTACCTCTGCGGCTTCAGCATCTACGGCTTCAGCGGCCTCAGGTTCTTCCGGCGAATCTTCGTCCTTCTTGTGTTTTTTCTTCTTCTTCTTTTTCTTCTCGCCGGCATCAACCTCCATGGCTGAGACGTCCAACGAGTTGTCCGCTGCACTAGTGACGCTCAATTTGCGCTGTTGAAGATATATTGATAAGTAGATGTTATTCAATTTAGAATCTATTTGTGCTACAAATAAAGTTTAATGATCACGGCAATTACAGCTATTAGCAGGGGATAAAGAAAATGTAAGTCAAACAGTTAACTGTCCAAGTTCTAAATTACTGCAACTAAGTCCTCAATTGGTCCTGTATTGGACTTTAAAATCGGTTTGTTATCAATCCATTTGGGATGATCTAACATTGTGGCTGGCAAATGACTTTGGATAGAACCCCTAAAATAAGTAAGCACAATCTCAGGTCAAAACTCACCTTTCCTCCAGCGAATTCATCGTCTTCGGCCGCCGCACCATTTCCATTCGTATCCTTGCCAGCAGCAGTTGGTTTGTTGAAATCTACATAACCGGTCACCCACTCTTTCGGGGTCTTATCGTTCGGTTTGCCATACTTGTCCAGCTTTCCGCTGGCAATCAGCTGCTTCTTCATCGAAGCCTTCGGTCCCAAGCCCCACTTGCGCGGATAGGTGTCCCGTTCCATGATGACACGCTTGATCTTTGCGCACACTCCATGGTCGCAGCTGGCCATCGTAGCCGTCGTCATCAGTGCAATGGCCAGTGCCACAGCTTCTCCCTTCGTAGTCACAATCACAATCTCCTGATCCATTTCGATTCCGTCTTCATAACGGAGCACACCAGGAAGCATAATCTTAGCACCATAGCAAACGGCATTCACCGAGCTGTCTTTCATGATGATACGTTTATGACCGACCAGAAGGCCCTCCAAAGGCTTAATCACCCTTCGGAGCATTGTTTCGTCCTTGTGGTTCTCGTACAGATACTGGGCATCGATAACGTCATGCATGGTGACCATGCCATCCTTCTCCGACTGGATACCGGAGCGAACGCGACGCAGTTCCAACATCTGACCTCCTACGCCGGTTACCAGACCCAAGTGGACACACATGGTACGAATGTAGGAACCTGCCTCGCAGCTGACCCAGAACACACCCATGTTGCGCTGATCATCGTAATCCAGCAGCTTCGAATCGTACACGGTACGAACACGGAGCTGACGCTTGACAGCCGAAATCAACGGCGGTCTTTGGAACAGTGCTCCACGAAGCTTTTCCAAGCCTTGGTTGACCTTAGCCACGGAATCCACTGCCGAGTGTAGTTTGAAGACGGCCACGTACTCCTTGCCAGCGCTCTGTTGGCTCTTAACCAACCGCGTAGCCCTATCGATACAAACGATCAAACAACCCGTCACCTTGGGGTCCAATGTACCCGAATGGCCGGTCTTATCGACTTTCAAAATTCGCTTAATCCATGCGACCACCTCATGAGAGCTGGGATTGGAAGGCTTGTCCAGATTGATAAATCCAGACGTCACATACTCCTTGACCTTCCGATTCAACGGCGACGATCCGAATGGCAGTGGGGTGTAGTGGTTGGTTCGGACGTTCAACCGATCGAAATTCTTCAACAACAACGGCCATTTCGATGTGTCCAACTTGGCAATCGCCTCGGACGGTTTGATCTGGAAGTTACCAGACTTTTGAATCTCGCCTAAATTTTCAATTTCGGCTCCCGGTTCCTGTTTGATCTTCTTCTTTTTCTTCTCCTTCTTAATAGTCGGAGATCCCATTTCTAAAATTGAAATGACCAGACTCAATCTCTTGCTGTTACGATCCACCAGACGATGGAACCTCGTGACAAAACCACGAGCTTCCGAACGCTGCATAATCGAAAAGTAAATAAAATGAACAATACCCACCATAGTCCGACATTTTGATGCAGCTTCGATATTTTAACTTCCCGTGCACCAAAATTCACAGCAATACGCACAATTGAGAAGCGATTTGTTAGAAAATTTAACGAAATAAAACTAACACGCCATTCGAAGCTATAGTTTCGGAATGGCTGCTCTCCGAATGAGACCAAAATATTATGACGAGCACGCGTGCTGCTTGTGGGGAACGCTGGACGTATTTGAGGTTATGTTTTGTAGGTGCGGTTGTGTTTGTGACATCGCTGTTCTCTGTTTTGACTCTTTGCTCGGCAGGGGTGTAACGAAATGGAAACCACTGGGATCAATCAAGATTGTTATAGATCAGTGCACGAAGATTTGCTGCACTCTTCTTTCACCCGTAAATTTTGACAGTTTTGGGGGGTTTGTTTTGGCTCCCATTCGTTGTCATCTCTTTTACTCAGAGACAAAATGATAGGAACCAAAAAGTGAGGTTAGGGACCGTGCACTGCTCTATAACAGAAGGACGTTACACTGATAAATTAAACTATTCTCATTTTGCTTAAAATTTAATCACCTTGACATTAAACTCAGTTTAATCCGATCCGAGGTTTAATCACATCGAATGATTAAAAATTAATTATCTGTTGCTAAAAAATAATCATCTGATATTAAACCCAATTTTCATCTTCTTTGTTTATTTGTTATGTTTGCATCTACAGACTATAAATAGTCCCAATGATGTGTTGTAAAAAAAAGTACAGATTATACAGACTACACAGCAAAAAAAGTTGTTGAATATTACATCGAAACTGCTGCAACCAGGTCAATCCATCGGTTGTGTAATATCACATTGTACGATTTACATCGATTTTGCGAACAAAATTACATCAATTGATGTAATATTGTATCTGTGTTTTGCTATTACAACATTATTTCATACATCATAGCTTGAATTACGTTGATCGATATTACAATTTTTTTTTTGCTGTGTACATATCCTTGATTTAATCATGGTTGATTAAATTGAAAGTTATCATGTTTGAATAAATTTTAATCATTTTTACCCTTCTTACAAAGAAGGGTATAGATATCACTTGAAAAACCGACTATCGATCCGAGGCCCGGAGGACCGAGTGTCATATACCATTCGACTCAGCTCGACGAGATCTGAACATGTCTGTGTGTGTGTGTTTATGTGTGTATGTGTGTATGTGTGTGTGTATGTAACGAAATGAATGCGTTCACGTTTCTCAGCAACCGCTCAACCGATTTGGACAAACTCGGTGCCAAATGATAGGTCTTGGGGTCTTATTGAACGCTATTGAACGGTTTTGGAATCAGTGAACCGGTTCCGGAGATATGGCCAGAATAAGATCCGGTGAATATGGGCCTTCACGCTGGATTTAACGGAAAACGTATCAAAACCATCATATACCATTCGACTCAGCTCAGCAGTGTGTGTGTGTGTGTGTGTGCGTGTGTGTGTGTGTTTGTGTGTGTGTGTGTGTGTGTGTGTGTGTGTGTGTGTGTTTGTGTGTGTGTGTGTGTGTTGTGTGTGTGTGTGTGTGTGTGTGTGTGTGTGTGTGTGTGTGTGTGTGTGTGTGTGTGTGTGTGTGTGTGTGTCTTTGTGTGTGCGTGTGTGTGTGTGTGTGTTTGTGTATGTTTGTGTGTGTGTGTGTGTGTGTGTGTGTGTGTGTGTTTGTGTGTGTGTGTGTGTGTGTGTGTGTGTGTGTGTGTGTGTGTACGTGTGTATGTGTGTATATGTGTGTGTGTGTGTATGTAACGAAATGAATGCGCTCACGTTTCTCAGCAACCGTTCAACCGATTTGGACAAACTCGGCACCAAATGATAGGTGATAAAGGCGCAGAAGACGGTACTTTTTTCTCCGGCCATTTCACAAAATCTGGTAGTGGCCGATGAGATCAAGAGTTGGACGGAGCGACACTAGAGTAGGTGAATAATGAACAGTGACACGTTGTTACCGGGGAGGTTTTCCGGAAGATAACCCATAATTCATGTACGAAAGAAAGGACGATGAAGGACTGGTCCCTGGATGATCCCTGCATACGGATATGATTGCATCCGGATCATATGATGACGATAATGCAAATCAAATCGCACGATGGTGATTTAACCGAGGATTTAACCTAATTGTTCACTTTTGTTTGGTTCATCGCGCATTCAAAAATAACTCGGAAAATAATTTATAATAAGAAATAGAAAATCATACACAGAAACTGCTGCAACCACGTCAATCCATCGGTTGTGTTATATAACGTTGTACCAACAATCAATACGAAACTAACGATTTTAAATTGGCTCACCACTTTAGTAGCCTATTGGTCCCAAGCAAACGATTAATGTACCCTATTCTAGTTGAAATTCTATTACTACACTATGTTTGTTTTGATTCGCTATGAAAGTTTGACAGATAACATCAGGGGTGTGTGGATTCATGCAGAACATGCAGGGGTGTTGAAATAGCTTGGGACTGCTTGGGACCGTTGTTCTGGTACTGAGTGAGCCAAAAATAATAATGATTTTCTTCGGGACCCAGTGGTCTTAGAGTTACCTCTATGGTTGTACCATAGAGGTAACTCTAAGACCACTGGGTCCCGAAGAAAATCATTATTATTTTTGGCTCACTCAGTACCAGAACAACGGTCCCAAGCAGTCCCAAGCTATTTCACTCACCCCTGCATGTTCTGCATGAATCCACACACCCCTGATGTTATCTGTCAAACTTTCATAGCGAATCAAAACAAACATAGTGTAGTAATAGAATTTCAACTAGAATGGGTACGTTAATCGTTTGCTTGGGACCAATAGGCTACTAAAGTGGTGAGCCAATTTAAAATCGTTAGTTTCGTATTGATTGTTGGTTGTGCGCAGGGGGAACGACACTTCAGGATTATCCCATTTTTACCCAAACCTCTCATATAATTTTCAACGTGCACAAAATTTCAATCCATCCTATCTATTCTTTCTATTCCCAACTAAAGAGCCTAAATTTATAAAGAGGTGACATGTCAACATTGGAACAATCGATTATCTGTCAAAATCATAGGAAAAGTCATTCCAATCGAGCAGAAGACCTGTCAAATGGATAAGATGTCGTCTTTTTATAAATTCAGGCTCTTTATTCCCAACATATCCCTTCTGCATGCACACAAATTGTCAAGCAAGCCGTGCAGTTTCTCGAAGTTTTCAGGTCGATCGCGAAGCACTCTGCCATACTCACTGTCAGTTTACAACACTCTCCACAACAAACACCACGTATGTCAGCTGACCATGCCGGTAAAAAATCGGTGCGAAAACTAAAAAAAGATGACGGACCATTCGTCTATAATCGGTCTCGGGGGCAAAAAACATCAAGTGCATCACGGAGGAGACGGCAACGCACATCCATTTCCCGGACTCAAACCGATCGAATTCGACGGATAAGAGCCCGGGTCTCTGTGTGTTGTAGCATGGAAGTTACCGAACAGGCGCGAAGCAACTGTTGATTTCGTTCGAACTGCTGATTCTAGCCCCGGGAAAAGCCTTACCAATGAAACCCCCTACGACAAGCAGGTGGAAAAGGAATTCAGGTCTAGGAGTTACCTCTATGGTATCATTATAGCGTCTAATGGTTTTGAGATTTCTGATTGCGTGAAATAAATTTGTGAGAATATCTTTTTGAGATTTTAGTAGTCACGTTCTGTGTGTAGTTTATATTTTATTTCTTTCATGTAATTATCTTTAATAATAGTTATTCAATAATAGATAGTTCATGCATATATTCGTACTTTGACGCGAAGTGTTATGGTTATGAGATGCTCGATGACCCTGGAGGGATCGTTTTTACTTACTGAGCAGAAAATCATGGGTTTAATCGAGGGGGACGACTCTATCTACGATACAGAAAAGATTGTGTTTTGCTGTGGCTAGCTGCGCGCACGCTGAGTAGATAGAAAGAAGATTGATGACGATTCTGAAGATTTCCTGCAAAAAGATGATGCGCGATGCAAGTAGATGCGACAAATGAAAGAAGATTTTTCGAAGATTGATTCGCTAGTTTGAGATTTGTTGAGCACCTAAACTTGAGATTTAGATGTGTTTACGGTTTAATCCCAAGCTCTCCGTCATGACTCTTAAAATTCATTTTAACTAAAAAAAATGAATATGGTTTTTCGATAGCCGGCTATCGAGAGAATAAATAAACAACAAATAAACAATATATACTTTTGGTTGCATCGCCAACTTGAGGTGAATCCTAACCCTAATAAAAATTGTATGGTTAATTTGCTTAACGACGTATTCTGGGTATCATCCAAACCATTTGTTGAATAGTTCAATGATTTGGGCTATCGTTCGTTTATGGTTATTTTTTATTAGGGAACCGAATACCCTACCCAACCCTCCAACTCCGTAGCACTTATGAGGGTGTCGCTAAGTCGGTGGCCTCTCGTTAAGTAAGTATTATAATCAACATTTCCTTCCCTATCCCTAGTTATGGTAAAGATGGGCGTGGCCGGGAATAGCGACAGTCATGCTTCTGTTACTCTTGTTTAGATTGGATCCAATGTTTACTCCCCAGCATTATTCCTGAAAGTAGTCTAACTGAGAATATCAGAAGAGACGTGAGTGTCGTTAGTATCCAATCTACGAAGTATATCATAACAACGCTAACGCTAACGCTAACGCTAAAACTGTGCTATTGTAATCGTTTTATTCAATAACAGAAAGCAAATATGAACAGAAAAGTAGCGCCGGTAAGAATGGTAAGTAAATCATAATTTTTAAATCCAAAATTATTGAGATTTCTTCAAAATGATAAATATGTTGCTCCCAGCAAAACATCAACAAATAATGCAAACAAGATTGAATTAAATCAATCAGTTTTGCTGTTTGAGGTGAGTTGTTAGAACAATTTTACATATTGAAGCAATCAAAACAATATAATTGTTCCATCCGCAGGAACATCATCTTTCCTATAGCTGAAGGAATACAGCCGAACCTAATCTCTTTCTGCTCTGTCATAAATAGAATCTCTCTGGTAAGTAGAATTAGATATTTAAGTGCTAAATTATTGAAATAGCATTGAAATAACACAAATCGTAGAACAAACATGATAAAACCAACAATAAAACCAACTAAATCCCTGCATGCTTCGATCGATGGTTGCAAATCGTATCCGAATACAATCCTACCGTATTAAACCAACAACAAGCATCGGGTGCCTGCATTGGAATACATTTTACAAAGGGGCTCTTCTATTTTTATTTAATTTGGTTAGTCACGCCCTAATAAAAATACCATAAACGAACGATATCCCAAATCATTGAACTATTCCACATATGGTTTGGATGATACATTGAACACGTCGTTAAGCAAATTAACCATAACATTTTTTTTTAGGGTCTCCATATCAACATTAATCGATGTGGTATGGCTGTTAGCATAACCATGTCCATGACCTTAGCATGTTTTTTCAATTTCATCTGAAAACTAGTAATTTTTATTTTAGGATAGACCTCGGGATAGACACATATCACAATAGTTTTTTAGGTTTTGTACAAGATTCGTTCATTTTAATAGCATATTTACACTGTAATTTGCAAGGGCTGTCACTATCTGATCACTTTCGAATAGTGCTTATTCCTGTCACCAGGCGCGCATTAGTTTAAGTTGGATTCGTCAATACAATAATCAGTCGAAGTATTGCGGATGTTTTCGCTCAGTGACTTCTGGCTTCATTCTTTGCGGGACTCTTACACAGAAACAAAATCCATTGGCAAAAATACTATATTGATGGTTTAAATTAAATACTCCCACCAATAGATTTGTGCAGAAACGAAATTCATTTAATTTTACTATTGTTTCTATCAAAACTACTATGCCGTTTGAGTAAGCATAGTAGTTTTAACAGAATGGCAGTAAATTTGATTATATTTTTAGTCAACTATACTGAAATCATGGTAGATTTAACGGCATTAAGCGTAGTTATACTGAAAATAAGTGTTTTCTGCAAAATAGTATTCCTAACTATGGTCTTTGTTTCAGTGTATTATAACATTGACTCTGGCCCGGCCCCAACGAAAACCGCAGGGCACCGCCTTGCCTAAAAGCGCCCACTCCCCCGTTGCGCTGTCACGTATACGTCTCGTCACTGCGAAATGTCAAAGCAAAAATTTTATGGCGTTTGATGGGTGAAAGTTTGGTCAAAAGGAAGAAGAAGCAGCAGCAGGCAGTCAGGCTGGAAGAAAATAAAAATCCAATCGCGTTTTTGCACTGTAATTTCCATTCATTTTATCCACGGTCATTGATTAGTTTCTGAAAAATCAGTTTTTGATTGAAGTGTGGTTGGAACAAGTGAAACTCCATCCAAGGATCTACCGCATTTGGGAAAGGCAATTTTTCCATCGAAAAAGGGGCAGATCCCAAATGTGTGCTGCTACTTCTGCTGCTTCGCTGGTGGTTACTGTAATTGTAAGAGGGAGGTGCTGCTGAGAGGACAGAAGAAAGGAAAAACACGGAGCGCTGCTTGCAGCGGAAAAGGATTTTTCTTCATCAGGTAGGAAAACTTGCACCGTAACACCTAAATCAATGCTTGTGCTTAGTGGGAAATCCGTTACCAACATCAAGTCGGATTGTGATTTTGGTCGGGCTCTTGAAATCGTTCGAAAACAAAGCAGAATCCCAAAAAGTAAAGAAGAGTAGTTAATTTATACACCACCTCAGAAAATGTTAGTAGGAAAGGAATGCAAATTGGATTTATATGCGTTAATTATTCGATTTTGTTATTACGCTACTTTTTCGGGGGTGGATCCGAAGGAATTTTATGATTTTCATTGTGGACTACTCGGTAGCAGTCAATGGAAACAGTACACAGAGATAAGATAGGTTCACGAACTTTTCCTATAGGAAGAAAGCGCTTAAAGATGATTCATTGGGAAAATGAATATTTCTAGTAGGGTGGGTGCGATAATTAATATTTAGCAAATATGAAGATTAGTTCATTAATTTTTATCTGATTTTCTCATCTGAAGTATCTGACTTAAAACTAACGTTAGTAAAGCGGGGGCCGATTACTCGCGGCTGTCTCGAGGTTAGGGGTAACAAATTGTAACAAATGGATAGCAGGGTAGGGATTCAGAAAACATGGTTTCGATAGCAATGTGGTCTCGATTTCTTTATTATAGAGACTTTCAGCCGTTGGCTGGTTCGCCTCTGAAAAGATAGTGTGGGGTCCAGAAGGGACCTCATCTAGTTACAAAGTTTTTTTTGTTTTCTCCTTTTTTATCATGTAAGGAGATCTATAAGAGGCTTCCTCTAGTTAAGTACTGAGGCTGTCAATGTGCTGTCTTTCTTCGGAGTTTTGATTGTTAAGTTGCTGAGGATCTTCCTTTGGTTTGAGATGTTGGGTGATAAGATTGCATTGCGGTGGTCGGAATTTTGGCAGGTTTCATATTTGATCGAAGAGGCTGGCCTCGCGGAGGAAGCCCACTAATGCTGTGATTCTAGTCGGGTCGTTACTCAGTGCGTCCCTAATGCTGCCCGGTATGCCGTACAGCTCTCGTGAGCTTTCGTATTGAGTACAGTGGCAGATTATATGTTCCACTGAACAGTTGGCTCCTTGAAAAGTTATGCGAGATTCTGGTATGGCCTGTTCTGAGTTGCCAGGACAACCTTAGTTCGGTGGTAAGGGGGGTCTTTTTATCTTCGTGTGTCAGCCTTCACTTTTCTAAGGAAAATGCTTGTTGATTGGGACCATGTATGTGACCATACGTCCCAGATTTTTCAGGTCCCCCGATGGACACTCCTTGGTAAACAGTTGGGCTTGTCTTCCAGGACCTCCCTTAGCTCAGTCGGTAAAGGCACAGCTACAAAGCAAGACCATGCTGGAGGTGGCTGGGTTCGATTCCCGGTCCGGTCTAGGAATTTTTCGGGTTGGAAAATTTCTCGACTGCCCTGGGCATAGCCTATGATTGTACTTGACACACAAATATACTAATGCAAAAATGGTACAGGCATCGAAAGCTCTCAATTAATAACTGTGGAAGTGCATCGATAGAACACTAAGTTGAGAGCACGCAATAAGCTAATATGCCATACGCAATAAGCTTGAAATGCGAGAAAGAAGAAGAAGAAGTTGTCTTCCAGAAGCCGCTAGATGATCCGCCTCCGTATTACCACGAATGCCGCAGTGACCCGGAATCCATACAAATGTAGTGTTTCTGGGGGCATACCGCTGAATGGCTTGGATCCATGAGTGCTTGATAGAGTCTGAGTTGAGGGCTAGAACTACACTTGCGGAGTCCGTAAATACGGTGATCGGCTTGTTTGAAGTAGTGGTAGCAGCAATAAAAGCAGAGACAGCTTCTGCCGAGAATATAGCGTACTGGTGTGGAAGTCGATGAAGTACGGAGATTTGGGGGCCCGTGATGCCGATGCCAACCCCTTCACGGGAAACCGATCCATTATCTGGTTCTCTGGAGTTCCGTGACGGATCTCACAAGTGCCGTAGAGTTGGATCCTGTCTTGAACTTCTTCTTTATTGCTAAGTCGATAATGGGCTCGGGCAGGTTACAATCTCTGGCTCCATACCAATGTATGCTAGACACCGGGGGAGCTTCAGATTGGTAGTGGCTGAAAGGAGTTGTTAAGCCTCGGTAAGGAGGAAAACTCCTTCATCTGAGCCAGCTGTCTTCTCCTCGAAGCTAATTGATCGGTTGCAGATGGTCTGAGTAACTAGAAAGTTGAATGGTAGTACTCCACTTTCCACGCAAGCTGCAGTTGCAGGTGTGGATGGTAGTAGGCCGGATGAGATACGGATAGCTTGATGGTATGTAGAGACTAGTTTTGTAATAAGTTGTTCGCGAGCGAGACAGGTAACTTCGATTCCATAAAGGAGACGTGATTCCAAAATTGCTCTAGCAACTCGAAGCCGAATGGGCCGGTTACTGCCTGGGTGTCGACCTGCGATGGATCGTAGCAAATTACAGGGTGGCCAGCGAACCGGGAAAACCGGGAATACCGGGAAATATCCGGGAATTTGAAAGGTAACCGGGAAAACCGGGAAAAAACCGGGAATTCGGTGAGAGAACCGGGAAAAATAAATTAACCACACCATAGGAATACATTTTCACAACAGAATTTCAAAATAAACCAGAGTGATTTTTTACCGAATGAATGTCTCTCTATTTGCTGCATAATTTTCTTCAGATTCCCGCCTTATTGTTTTTAGAATTTAATCACTCAGCAATATTTCAAATTGATTTATCCGATTCAGTTTCAGATGTTAAGTGCATGGGCCTTAAAACAAAATATTGAAGATGCTGGACTTAAGAAACAAATATTTGTAAAAACTGAAACTGCCTAACAAACATTGAATGTTTAATATGTGCTTATTCAGGCAAAAATAAGCTTCTTTAGCTAAAAAATTGCTTATTCAGCTGTTAATCAACTCAAATTGTTTGTTGGGTGAACTATTCTTTTCCCGGGTTTTAATTTTATTCAAAATTCTCATGATATGAATTTCAGAATGAACTTGAATTCTGCTCTGAATTATTATAGAATTCTTCTAAAATTAACCAGAAAACACTCTGCGTAATAATAACCGTTGAATTCTTTCTGGAATTTCCTTGAAACCCCTTCTATGAAATTGTTTGGAATTGCCTTAAACCTATTCGGAGACTTTGATTTCATTGAAATCGTTTTCAAAATTTTCTTTTAACTCTTAAAACAGCATAAATCTTTCGAAATTTGGAATTATTTAGAAACCCCTTGGAGTATTTTAAAGAATTAGCATTTTTTTTTTGCAATGAATTTTGTTGGAGCTCTTTGATGAATCTTTCACACTAGGGTTGAAATAATCGCCAGAACACTCTTAGAACTCTGTGTCTGCCTCTTGGGATTCTTCAATTTAGATTAGATAATTTAATTTAGAACTTGCAATCTTCTCCACAGAAATCCCTCCAAATTCTTCTAACAATTTCTAAGGACTTCATGTCAGAATAATTCTGGAATTCTGCTCAGAACTTCTCCTTCGACAACTTTGTGGAAATCCTCCTCAATAGTTGTTTGAAATCAACACTTTGAATACTTTTAAATTTGACTCAAAAATTCCATACAATCCAGTTTATTCGCAAGATTCTATCGATTGTTCTGTAATTTGTTTTAACCCTTAAAATGCTTCCAAGTCTCAGAGCCTTGACAAATATGACTGCACGATTATTTAATAAACGTGATATTTTTTTTTCAAATCTGTGATCTTGGAAAATTTTTAAACTCTCACACTTTAACTATTTTTTCTACAAATCTTGCATCACGAATATTGTTATTAATCCCAAATTTTGAAGAAAAGTTCTATTTTCAGACTCTACACAAATTTCAAAGCTCCATAATCTTGGGAATCTATATTTTTAGTAAATAATCTTTCAGTAATTTATTTTTTCCATGTATTGGTCTATTGGTCGCGAGTATTAAATTTCATGAACCATGTTTAGTTTCACGTTGAGCGAGCTCAAACGTTAGTAGGTTTCACATATTTTTTTTTTCGTGTTCAACTTTGTACATCAGCGCGAGAACTGAAAGGTTAATGTTTATGTTAGTATAGACAATGGAGTGAATACAAATTTTCTTTATCCGAAAGCACTATCAATTTGCTCTAAATCTCATTTGTATCAAGTTCATTCTTCTGAAACATTTTTTTAATTAAATCTCGTATTCTTCACAATTCTGTCTTATAACTTATTCATCCAGATAGCATTTGACCCAGTGATCTTAATCTCTGTCATTCAATAAATTCTAGGGCTTTGAAATCCTAAGATGTATCGAGCATAAAAAGTGGTAGAATTCGATTTATCAATGTATATCGAAAGATCAATAAATTGTTTTGAATACATTAAGTGACTCATAGAGTTGAATTTTTCCTATAGCTTTAGAAAACACTTTCTGTAATTTGGCTTTTATTTTTCCCACAAATAATCACTGCAAATTAACAGTTGGACACGTTTTAAAAATGCGTACAATTTCGTTTTTTGTTGAATATCAATAACCGGGAAATTTTTAAGATTTGAACCAGAAAACCGGGAAAAAAACCGGGAATTTCAAAATGAAAAGTCACTGGCCACCCTGAAATTAAGACATGTCTTGCAGGCGTTCTTGACTTCGTCGAAGTGGGCGATCCCCCGGTTTTTTCTCTTCCCACTTAAAGCATTAACCTTTCCCCACAGATCAGCTGCCGATTGGTTTGCGCTGATTCCGTTGAGAAATTTCTCCAAACTTGGGCTTTCGCGTCCCGTGGAAGATGATGATGACGTGTAGGCAGCTGGATCAGCAAATCGGACCGGACAATCCCTTATTCTTCGGTTCAATGGTTGGGCACTCGCAAGAGTCTCGGCCCGTCTGCTGCTGGACTGGGGGTTGAACTGGTGGCTGCGACAGGTTGGAAGGCCACAGAATATCAGAATAACTAAAGCTCCTCCTCTTTTTAGTTTTTCTCGTTAAACTCCTTCTCTAAACAAGTTGGTAAATATTAGCCTTTAGCTGAAAGACGCTTAACACTTAACA